AAACGAAGAAAAAACGTTTTCCTGCAATGCGAGTGGTGATGGGATGGGGCTCATTGGGGACTCGCAACTCTCAGAGCCATAAGTCTGTATTCAGACTGTCAGATTATTGCTTAGTGAGTAAGATTGGGTGTCAAACTCACACTATGGAAAATAGTCGTAGGCTTACGGTGATTTTTTCATTGATGTGTGTCGTAAAGTCACAATTTGAAATTGTAAATTTAGAAGCACTTTGCAACGACTTGGAATTGATCGACAAGAAAGAATGGGTTGTCCCAAATTTACAGCATACAGGGTGGGTGTTCCGCGCCGTCCTTTTTAAATGCTTATACTGTACCGGATTCACGCGTGCTGGCGCTGGCAGGCTTGCCTACCGTAGCTCACCAGGGCGCCTTACGGCGCCGTGCGAGTATGCAACCCGTCCGCACGTAAGAATCCGGCACAGTATAAGCATTTTTAAAAGACGGCGCGGATCACCCACCCTGTATTATGTAAGTGGAAATAACAACAAATGCAACTGTACGAGGATATTTCTCACACAGTGTGCAGCTCAGTTAAGTAATTTGCATAAAATGAGTGCGGTTTGGTATCATATTCCAAGTGCTAGGATTGCCCGCTCATACGTGACCGCGGGAACCCATTCTGTTAGCACGGTACGCTTCCTAACCACGAGTAAAACAAATCGTCTGTTGTGCGTGCAGGTTCGACTGATATTGACTCTGGGTTCTCTTCGGCCCTCTTCTTGTTTTGCATATGGACCGGTGAAGTACAACATGGGCCTGAGGCAACGCGGCGCGTTTCCGCGCCGCCCCCGCCGCCGCTGCACTCGATGCATACCGAAGGAAGATGTGTGTGTGTGTGTGTGTGTGTGTTGTGTTCCTGAATTCCTAATTACTGCTCACTACTACGTACTACTACACTGGGAGGTGCGGCGGGCGGGCGTGAGCAGAGGTGTTGGTTATATGGACTCCCCCCCGGGGAGTCGGCGGGAGCCGGAGGGGATGCCCCTGCCCCCTGCTGCAGGCGGGGGCGGTGCGGGGGCGGTGCGGGGGCGTGGCCGGCACCCAGCTGCTGTGGTTTGTGGAGGGGGGGGGGTACTTTTGTTAACGCGTTATTGGCGCCGGACACCACAGGAGCAGGGACTTGCACAATGACGGTAACGGGCTGAGCCGGGCAGTACGTGGGGGCGGGGCGGCGGGCCGCGGCGGGGCGAGGCGGGGCGAGGCGGGGCGAGGCGGGGCGAGGCGGGGCGAGGCGGGGCGAGGCGCTGCGGAGGGGTGGGGCCGCTCTGGGCGCCCACCTATATAAGCCTCTGTTTGGCGCCATGTGAGCACCAGTTACCAGCCTCTCATCGTCTAGACGAGAAGTACCTCCTCCTCCTCATCACCCGCAGCCATGGCTTTCATCAAGGTGTGCATCATGTCAAGCTATGTGTGTGTGTTGTGAGTGCGTCGTATGTGAGGCCCCAGTGACGCACCAAGTCCACGGCGTTCTCAGCGTGCTCCCAAAACAAACGTGCCCAGTGTTTCTCTTAGTGTGAAGAAAATGTGAACAAAATCATTTTAATTTTGCAGTTGGCTCTTGCCCTGACCCTCCTGGTGGCGGTGGCTCTGGCCATGCCCGGCGGTCACCACGCCGAGTCGTACGCCAGCTTCAACCTGTTGGATACCGGCTATCACCATGGAGGCCACGAGTCGCATCATGAAGAGCACCACTACGTGAGTGACCAAAAACAGTTGCTAGGACTCGATACAACTAGAATTTCTAAGGTTATGCCTCTTGATTAGGTAGGTAAACGATGCCTCTACTCTCTACGGAGGGTATCGATCTATTCTATAACTAGTAGTCTCTAGTTCGAAGCTGAGCGAAATTTTGGATAAAATTATATTATGTCTACGCGTTTGAGGCTGAAACTTTGGAAAGTTATGGTACCCCAAGATAAAAAAAAAATCAGAGCACAATAACTTTCCCATTTTACTTTACCTATACGCGGTACTAGTGACTTGTTCTGCGAATCTAGATTTTAACTCTAAAGATAGAACTAGAAAAGCAGAAGGCTTAACTTTTTAAGTATCCTTATATGTACTAGCTGGAAATTTTCTATAGACTATCTGATGATAGTTGTAGAAAATGTATAAAATGCCGGCACGAAATCTGTTTTAACATTTATATATACAATATGTAAAACGATATTTTTTTATTATGTTGATTAGACAGTTGAGTGGACGGGACTATGATTTTTGAGAGAAAACTCGGGAAAACTAATACTACCGCGAAACACGTAAATCTGCCTCGGCCATCGACTTACACAGTGAAAGGGGGGAACGGTATCTTGGAGGGGGAGGGGGTGGGGCGAGGTGGATTTGCCGAAACAGTAGCCAGCAAAGTGAACATGAAATTGCCGCTCGCGGGCGCTCGTCGCCCCGCCCAGCCGTAACGGCCGGTGGACCGACTCCTCCGCACGCGCAATGCGGGGCTGAGCATTGCCCTGGCTGAGCGACGCGGCTCGATGCTTAGCTCAATCGAACGGGAGGTGTTCTATATTCTTCCAGGTTTGGGTAATCCTCCATATACTGGTGTAGGAATGTAGAGCACCGTTCGTTCGATTGAGCGCGATGGTTACACGAAAAAAGAAGAATTTGTTGTGAGGATCAACTGTGTTTGGTAGGCTAAATTCAATAGCTGGAATCGAGAATCCGACACCCACAACCAGGAGGTGGTTGTGGGTATGGGGTTCTCGATTCCAGCCATCGAATTCAACCAACAAAAAAGAACTGATCTCCAGAACAAAGTCTATTTTTACCGTGTAGTCTTGCAGCTTAGGGTCAGCCATAATGGCAGCAATTAAATAGTTAATTAAACTAAAATTTAGTTCTGCTCACTAGGCTACTGTTGTGGCTCCGCCCTCGTTTTATGCTTGTCCCTGATTTCCCGATGGTTGCTAAAGTTTTTCGATTTTCTGGGCGCTGTAACAACCTGTGTCGGTGGGCATGTGCATGCGTGCATGGCAGAAATCGTTACTTTTTTCCCTATCTCCACACGATGCACCGGCTTGCCCACAGTCCGTTAAATGAACTTTTCTTTTCCGCCCAAATCGGTAGGCCTATTCGCGTTGCGCAACCTTGGCTGGCTGGCGTGACCACCGCCCCTGGCGCATCTCCTACTTCTTGCTGTCGCAGACGAGCGCGCTGCTCTGGCCGAGGTTCCGGCCCTTCCCGGCCCGTCCGGGGTTGCCTAATGGGCGCAAGGGCCCCCTATTTATTTCCGAGTGGCTGGGCGGGCGGAGGAGCTGCTGAGCTGCCCTCCGAAACGCATGCAAATGCCCGCCCCTCTGCCCGGCGGCCGCGGTCCGGCCGCGCGCGCCGCGCCGCCTCGCAAAGGCTCATGTACTTCACACGGTTTCTGGGCATCTTCGCGCCACGCCTTCACGTCCTCAGGCTCCCTCGGATACCATCTCTCTTGGGAAACAGAGGAGGAAAAGAACAGAGGGAAGGGGGGAGGTGGGAGTCCGGGAGCGAGAGGGAGAGAGGGGAGGAGGCGAGTGATGGCGCCTGCACTGGTGACTGATAAGCGCTCGCCAGCGTTCAGGTTCCCGGTCCCGCCTCCACCACGCGTGCCCCGCGTGCTCGCGCACGTCCTCGCGGTGCAGCCAACCGGCCTATCTCGGGATACCCCGGACGTGCGCCGGATATGTGGAAGTGGGTGATGGCAGCACCTGGCACCTACTACCTCACCACCTCGCGCGCTACTACACGCTGCCTTGTTGATGTTGCAGTCGCACCCCAAGTACGAGTTCAAGTACGGCGTGGAGGACCACCACACCGGCGACCACAAGGACCAGAAGGAGGAGCGCGACGGCGACGTGGTGAAGGGCGAGTACTCGCTGCTGCAGCCCGACGGCAGGAAGCGCATCGTGCACTACACGGCCAGCAAGCACGGCGGCTTCAACGCCATCGTCTCCTACAGCGGCCACGCCATCCACCCCGAGGTCAAGCACGGCCACTACTAGACGACGCGACACTCTGGCCGCCGCCGACCCAGGTCGTCAGCGGCTCCCCCCGGCCCTCGTCGATGACCGACCTGCGGGCCATGGGACCTTCCGGAGAACTCTTTGGAACCTCGCAAAGACTGCAACACACTCTTGCTCATCTTGTAAATAACTCACATACCATCTACCTCATTCTGTAGTTGTACTACCAATTAGGCGCCAATAAAAGAAAAAAGTAAGACTATAGTATTTTATTTCCATGGCTTTAACTAGGCTTTTATAACATGCCCCTCACACTTTTCCCGCACTACCAGGGAAAACGAAAAGAAAAATGACCCGAGTTTGTGTCGTTTCATTTGCAAAGCGGCCTGGCCCGCTGCGAGGCCTTGGGTCTCGTCTAAGTTATAATGTAAGTTGATCACCGCCATGTTGGTCGGTGACACGCTCTCCGTAGGCACGCCTCACCAACGCTGGAAAGTGGAACTGGGTTGAAAGTCACAACCTTACCGTCCGGCCTGTCTAAGGCAAACGGTGCTGTGAGCCGATAATATGCGGCGTCAACACTAACAAAATAAAATGCATAAAACGCATCGACAAGGCCTTGTTGTTATGTTGCTGCTTTTTTATTATTTTTTAAAAAGTGTGGTTTGTGTAGAGTTGAGTGCTGACCGACCAACTAGTGTAATGCTGCCGAAAGAGTAGACTTTATAAAATACACGTATTCTTTGTATCAAACTGAAAAATATAGAAATATTTGCAACGAATTCGGCGGGCTTCTGTGGGAGTGTACCGGGTGTACCTGAGGACGCTGCAGTGTTGCGAGATTGCATGCCCTCTTCCTCTTGAGCTGCAGGAGCCATAGCACTTTGCGAGCGGCCGGGATAGGTAGGTGAACCCGCAACACTGCGGCGTCCTCTCTGTTGCACCCGGTATGGTATCCAACTTGCAGGCTACTTCCCTTTGAACGGTCCTAAGAAGACGACTCAGCATGCTCGGTCGGGCGGAGGCTAGGCTAGCGGAGGCTCCCCGGAGCGTGAAGTGTCAGATGTGTGGCCTACCGCCACGGCGTCTCTGCTCCGCCACGCTCCCCTCCACGTACCCTTGGCCTTTCCTCGCACACCCCGCATAAGAGACAGAGTACGGTACAAGTTAGCTACATCGCGAATGAAAAAAAAAACTGCACTCAAGACTCGAGCATAAGTTGCTAAACGACACGCACTTTCACAGTCCATCTAATATGAACACATGCTGTGCGACCGCAACGCTGGGGTCGGAGCGGGTACTCGTACATCCTTCAAGCACAAGATTAGCTAAAGGGCAAAGGGCAGTAGTATACAGCACACGCATTGTCTTAATTGTTGTGCATATAATTTATTTTCAGAGTTTATGTTTAACTGAGCACTGTAGAATCCTCACAAACAAATTAGTTTGCAAGCTGCGAAGCATTAGGCTGCTTTGTAATACGAATCATTTGGTTTGGAATCACAGAGCATTGAGAGGGGAGCGGTCCAATGCTGCACGTCATTGCCTGCTGCTGCGGAGTTACATGCGCTCTGCGCTTCACTGCATTTAAGGTACCACGGCGTGACTCCTGTAATTCCAGGAATGCTCCCTCTGCTCGGCTCCACACATCGTCCACTTTACCCGATGGTTTGATTCCGACCTTCTCCGTCCTTCGCTTTTTTTTTCCTCTCGCGGGGTACGGGTCGACCGCGTGACTTTTGCACGGGCTTGCTTATGGTCCGAGTACAGGGCTGTAGACTCCGACCGGCGACACCACACCCTTCAGGGACGACAGTGACACTCCAACTCCTGTTAATGAGTTCTTTTACAAAAAAAGAAGAAGTGGAATAAGGGCTACTCTCGGACCACCACAAAGCCTTGGCTTATCACACCCAGAGAACTATATCAGCAATCGAATGGGGGTCGTAGGAAACAAAATTTACATAGGTCCTGAAACCAACTAAGTTTTAGTATACTCTAATTTTAAATATCGTCTATAAAATAAGTTGCCTTGGCTAAATTGTTTAATCAGTACAATCGAAATTCCGTCCACACAACTAAAATTTTATCGGTTTTGAATTTCGGAAATTTTGTAAAATTGCTCATTCTCTAGTCCCACTGACGGGAACAAGCGGGAGCAAACTTTTCGTGAGGAAGGGTGTTGCACCTATAGACTTTGCACTTGAAACAAATAATTGGTTTTGTTTGGGTCTGTTTCAACTAAATTTTAGTTCTTATGACTGATTTCTTTCATTTTCATGCAGTGCGGTTGGTTTGACCTATGAATAATATTTCGTTCCCTTTTTTTGCAGGTACTGTTATTGTACTTGGTATTGGCATTTCCAGATTCAAGGGGCGTGCGGCGTGCCTCTACTTTTACCACCGGCATCTGGAGCGATACACGTATTTATTGGTAGTTTTTCCCGAAGTTACGGCCCAGAGTCATTACTTTCGTGACATTGCATTTTCTAGGTTACGGCTAGCCGGCTAAAATGCGGTATACCTAGTGCACAGGAGAGCCAGTGCGTGGCGTGGCGCGGCGTGTGCTACCGACAGCCGTCTGCCTCGACTAGCCGTTTTTAAGAGAATAACCAACTAATAACAATCATAATCATAACGCCACTACTAGGAGACATGCCGCGGTTCGTTGTCAAGAACGCCATTCCGACAAGCCGCACACGGTGGTGGCCAGTCAGCTCTCAGCCTCAGACCCGCCCCGCCCCCGCTTTACCCGTCACCTCACCAGCAAACCGGATTGCCCCGCGAAAAAGCCAACAACACAACACACTTTTCCATGCACATACCCCGGAATATTTCGTTGATATTATACTGCACCGCATGCAGCCACCCTATGGCCCCTTGCTAGTAGGCAACGCGCCCGCACGCCTGGCATGCAGTACAGTTTAACTAAATTATGCTCCGGGGTCTATGTGGACCACCCCCTTGTATAATCAGAGATTAAAGTACTCCAGCATCGCCACTGGTATCTTTATAATTACGATGGAATCCCTTTCGAGCAGACTGCTCTCTACGCATTTTTTTTCATACTACACTGGTCGCCCGGTCCGGGAGCGTTTGGTAATGTTATAACTTTTGTTTAATGAGAGCAGGGTTATTTTTGTGTGTTTTTTTGGGGGGGGGCGGAGGGAGGGGGGTTCGGAGAAAGGCCTCTTACTACATTCACTACGTAGGTTAGAAAATCGGCAATAGGTGGCCATAACAGCACGATGTCCCTGATCAGCCGAGCCGTTAAAGCGTACGGACTCGCCTAGGCGAAGTGTTGTTATTGCGATTCGCAGAATTTGCAATGAAAAATGCATGACTACTGCTGTGCGAGGAGCGGTCCAGGCTGCCCCCCTTGCATACCCCTCCCCTACCCCGGGCCGGACCCGACGGACTCGACCCGCTGCTGTGAAGCCCCGCCCCTCCCCCCGCAACCCCCTCTGCCGCGTCCCGTCCTGTGCGGGGGGGCCATGGAGGTCCTAGTGCACACCGGTCAGGTCGAGGGGTGCAGGTGCGGCGGGGCGCGGCGGGGCGGGGCGCGGGCCGAGACCGAGGTCCCACCCAGGCAGTCTTA